TGTGTGTTTCCCGCTGCGCTGCCCGGGAGCACGGATGTCGGCACTGCGCCTAGCGCAAGCCCGCGCGGCACCGGCCGCTTCCCCGCGGCCGTGCCCGGCCTAGTGCCAGCCGGCCGAGGCAGCCTTCGCCGCCCCCAGCCCCGGGTCGGGGAGGCCCGCAGGGACTCTTCTTCGGGAAAACCCTGTGGCAACTGCAGAGAAAACCGCCGGGCCGCCCGCTAGCGCGCAGGCAGCCGCCACAGTGCGTCAACAGGCGTTTTAACTGGAGCGCACAGACCAGGGGCTCGGGGCTGGGGGCCCGGCGGCAGTGGCCGTGGCCCGGGGCTTGCGGCCGCTCTGAAAGTCTGGCGGATTCGGGCAGCCTGCGTTTGCTTTGGCAGCTGCGAAGGCGCACAGGTGCACGGGGAGGGGGGCTGGCGGCGCCACCGCAGACCGTCATTGACAGAGCCTCGCCATGGGCGCCCAAATTCGTTCCTTGCGAATTGCGTAAGCGGCCCCCGCACCGCGTACCAAGCCAGCGGGAATTACGCGGGCTGGTTGCCTGCTGCCACCTTGCTAGGCCCACCGCTCCAGCCTGAACTCCCACCGCTCCCGCCTTGCACTTGAGGTTCCAGCAACGGTGAACTGTTTCCCTCCTGTAAACCAAGCTGTTTCTCTCCTTGCCGTGGCCGACGCCGGCCCGCCTGCCCGGCTTGCCCTCCCGCCTCGCTTTGCCCGACTGAGTCTACTAGGCTTTTAAGCCTGGGCAACTACCCCTCCCCTCCAGGAGATGCTCCTCTTCTGGACTCCTTGGCTTCCTGTTTGCACCTCTGACTGCGCTTAGTTTCGCACATGGTTCTGCTTCTCCTTATCGTTTTGTAAATTTCTTGACCGTAGGGGCCTTTTCTCCTGCCGAGCACATTGTCTGGCACGCAGTGGCTGTTCAGTAGAGGAAGTGGTCCCTTGCCTTCAAGAGCTTTCCGTCTCCTTGGAGAGCTGAGGCTAGCCATAGGACTTGGGAACTGCTGAGGAATCAAGGTGGCGTGCAGTCACGTGTGGATTTCGATGGTACCCAGATAGTGTCCTTAGGAGGAGGGGCTGAGTCCTTTGGGTGTCAGGGAACTGTGACAGCCCTGGTGAGGTGCTGCCAGTTTCAGTTGGGATTCCTGCTTGATTTGTGGAGTAGGAGCCTTTGGCCAAAGAATATTGCTACATTTCCACGGATTACAGAGCTGGAGGGCCATGGGTGCCCTTTCCTAAGCCACAGACACGTTTCAATAATCCCTCTCTGGCTCACTGGGGAGGTGGGGGACAGCGGTAGATGGGGAGCCTTGGACTCAGCAGAACGTGGTTATTCTGGGATACGGTAATGGTGGGTACATCTGTTACCAACCAAGTGTTTTCTGAACGTCAAATCCTGTTTAATTTCACTTTTGCTTTGCGATTGATCTGTGGCCTATCACACACTGAGTGTCAAAGAAGGAAGTAAACATCTTTGGCTAGATTTTGTTTCTGACTGTATTTGGAAGGGAAGTAATATGACGGGGAGAAGACGTGTCACTTGGAACATCAGGGGTTTGGACTCACATTCCTCATCTGTAAAGCCAGGGGGTTGTCTGGGTGGTCTTTAAGGTCCCTTCTGGCTCTAACATTCTATGCTTTTAGGACTTTAATTCCTGCCTGACATTTGGCTAAGCAGAAGACACCGGATGAGAGACCAGCTTATTACAGGACATCTCTAGGGACGACTGGAGTGAGCACTGTCCTGGGAGTCTGAAGATTGTGCCTTAGATCTACCTCATCACTAACTAGCTGGTGACTTTGCGCAATCACCTAGCTTCTCTGGGCTTTATGTTCCTTATGTGTGTCTACTAAGAGGAGATTAGAGGGTTTATTGAAGATCCTTCTGTCTCTTAATTTCCACTTGTCAGACTTAAAAATAGTTTGCTAATAGCAGCTAGGCAAAGAGCTCCGACCTTGGTGTCAATTTATAGCTCCATGTCCAAGCTCGTCCCCTCACCAGTTTTGCTCTTCACTCAACCTGTCTGTGCCTCGGTTTCCTCTCCTGTTAAATGGGAATGTCTGCTCTGTCTGCCTCAGAGGGTTGTGAAGATTCAATGTGTGGGAGAGGACTTTTAAACTTTAAAGTGCTATATACATTTGAAGAGGTATTAGTTACTGCTTAAGTTGTTGATGAGCTGAGATGATCTTCAGTGTTACTGGGGAGAAGCCTGGCTCTGCGGTGAAGAAGGCAGCTGACTTTGAGTTCTGTTTACGCTGGGCGCTGGCGGTTCTGGGAGCAGAGGAGCCTTGGCATGCTTTGGGGTGGGCTATGCGTTTGTATACGTCTGGGAAGTCAGCAAGGAGAGGGCCACAGCTCAGCAGGCGGGGCCCGCAGTGAGGACGGAATGGTGGGAAGTCTCAGGTGTGGCCCTCAGGAGCTGCCTTTCCCCACTTTTTTGTGGGGCGGGGTGGGGGAGTAGAGAATGGCAAATTGTTTAAAAATACACGTGTATAGAAAACAGTAAAACTGTAAGGTTATTTGTGTATTGTTGGATTCTGGGAAGTTCACGTTTTCTCTATTATATGTATTTTCCAAATTTTCTATAATGAACATGTATTTCTTAAATCAGAATAATAAAAAATTTCTTCTTTAAAAATTGGAGGAAATCGCTTTTTACAAATGTGGATTCACCGTTTTCTGCCTAACCTTTACTTCTCATTTGATTAAAGAACTAATAAAACTTTTTTTGAAATTAGGATATGTCTTGTCTTCCAAATCAATGTTAGATTTCTATACTTTTCACCTATATATGTTTTTCATAGTTTGAAGTGGCTAGAATGTGGAAAACACCTATTTAAATTCTTTGACTTCATTAAAAAGAAGTTGGAATCTTACCCGGTTTAAAAATTTGAAGCACATCAGAGTATAAAAAATTAGCGTGCCCCCTAAATCTGTTTTATCACCTGTATTTCATTTAAAAAACATTTTAAAAATAGGTTCTTACCATTGACGTGTAAGATCTACATCCAGGAATCCATTCTGAGGGAATAGTTGGACAAGTGCACAAAGACAGGAATGTTCACAGTTTTTTGTATGACAGAAAAAACGTGAGCAACTTAATTATACAAAAGTAGAGGTTTGGCTTATAAGTCATGCAGTCATTAATGGGAACGTAGATACTTGACATGCAGATATATTCAGCCCCCATTAAGTTAAAAAGCCTGTTACAAAGATACACACACACATCCCATTGTCTGTTCACAGAAAGGGGTCTACATATATTCTAAGAAAAATATATGAAAAGATAGATATCTATTGATAGTTGTTGACTTTACATAGTGGGATTATGAATTTTCCCCTCTGATTTATTTTCTAATTTTTCTACAAAAAATACGTATTGTTCACTTTTTAAAGGTGACTATAAAGGCACTATTAAGTAAAATGTTTTGTTAAATGGCTTGGCTAGAAAGACCCAGTTTGTGTGACAAAGCTTTTATTACATAACTAACTAAATGTCATTTTATGTATGAAAGTCTTTCTGGGGTTAATTCTCAGTTGGACATATACTATGAAACTCTTATCCATGGATTGTTAGTGACTTATTAATTTTGATTAATTGTATTAACTAGCATATGAACTAGCATAGGCCACTTAGATCTTTTAACACCTCAGGTTCTTTTTCATTAAAATGGATCTAATATTCCATTAATAAGTTTATTGGTAGGATTTCAGCTGCTATGGTAGACAGGAACCTCAGACTATGTATGTGAAGTACTGTGGAATGCGCCTTCTACATAAATACCAACTGTTGTTAATTATTAGTCACTAATCAACAATAACGATGGTAACTGGGTACGTACGAGATTGCTGACTTGCTTGGTGAGGCAGATACCAAATAAGGCTAAGACAAGGCTCCTCCACAAGATGACGCGTGGAAAGCAATAATCCGCGCACTGCCGTGGGTAAGTAAGGGCTGGTGGGGGCAGCTGCTCACCTGCCGTTGGTGTTCAAGGCCAGGGGAGGCAGTGAGCAAAGTGCAGGCTCATTAGGGAGAGAGACTGTCCCCCACGTGGAGATGGTTCTTGAGGTGGCCGAGCGCAGAGGGAATAGCAACAGCCCTCACGTGGGAAGGAGCTGGGTGTTCTGGTTTTGACCGAAGTGGAGGCTTCGTCGCAGCGAGGGTACTGGCTGGGTACGCCTAGGCCAGAATGTTAAAAGCTGAACAAAGGAGCAGAGAGCTGTTATCAGAAGAAATAAGATTCCAATCCCAAGACCCTTTCACTCTCTGCAGATGAGCCAGAACTCTCCACAGCTGAACTGACAAACTCACGTGGATCCGCACCTGTCCTTTCCTCCTACCTCAAGCATCTGTGGACGAACCTCTGTGCTTTCCACTGTGTGTGTGTGTTTGTTAAGATGTTTGGCAATTTTAACCATTTTTAAGTGTACACTTCAGTGGCATTAATTACATTCACGATGTTGTGCAACCGTCACCACTACTTCAAAAATTTTTTATTACCCCAAACGGAAACTCTGTGCCCATTAAGCGATAACTCCCATTCCTTCCTCCTCCTAGCCCCCGGTAAACTCCGAGCTACTTTCTGTCTTATGTATTTGCCTGCTCTACATGCCATCACGTAAGTGGATCATACAGCATTTGTCCTTTTGTATCTGGCTCATTTCACTTTAGCTTAATGTTTTCAAGGTTCATCCATGTTGTAGCACGTGACAGAATTTCATCATTTTTGTGGCTGAATGGAATATCCCATTGTATGGGTATGCCACTAAAACGTCCTTTTAAAATGAAATGAAGTGGCAATAGT